TGCACACTGTGTTGATCGACGCACGACGCAGAACTCAGGAATCGAACCTATCCTCTCACGGATCGATTCCTGATCGCATCGCTTCGATCTCCTGCACAAATCCACCAAATACAACACGAAATCCACCAAAAAATCACAAGCAATTGCATTCTACCTAATCCTTTACCCAGGTCACACACTCACCTCGAATCTGGAAAGAAAAAGGATGAGATTTCACGAAGAACGCGAAGAACACGAAGAACGCAGAGGCTGGAAATCCCTGGGATCCAAAATCACTTCTTTCTCCACGAAGAACACGTTCAAGAATCGATTCCAAAGCCTCCCAAATCAGAACACCGACCTTTTAGGATCGAGAAAGCGAAGAAATCAACGATAATCCTTCGATTCCTCTCGATCCTCTCACAACTCTCTAAAACTCTCTGTTTCTCTGCCAAAAACGACCAGAACTCGGCTGATCCATTTATATATCGAAACCCTAGGGCTTCCTTAACCAACCCGCCAAACCGACGCTCATAATCGAACCAATCCGGTTCAATTCTAGCTTGTGTCGATCGACGCAACACCCGAAATCACGACTTCTCACAAGTCGACACATTGTGTCGATCGACACAGACACTGCATCGATCGACGCCCAGCCCAAAAATCACATTTTTGGTTCACGGACGTTACAAATCTCTTCTTCATGAGTCTCTTCAACTTCTCCCATGACCTAATTCGAGTCTTTCCTTCTCTAACACGCTGTGCTTTAAGAGTATCCCACCAAAGGCTAGCATAACCCTTAAATCTCAAGGTAGCCACCTTAAATTTCTTCTCATCGTCATAAGTGTTGTATTCAAACGCCATCTCCATAGATCTCAACCAATCGAGAAAGTCATCTGGATTCAGATTACCTTCAAAGTTAGGGAAATCTACTCTGAAATCTTCTTCACGACGAGGCGGTTGTTGTTGTGGACGATTATCTCTTCTCCTTCTGCCACGTTCCACAACAATACTAGGATCAGCAACAGATCCATGAGAAGAACCTCCACTTTCATCAGAAGACGTTTCAACATCCACGACTCTTCGTCTCCTTGGCTGATCTTGAATATTCACGCCATTAAAAGCCTGAACCAACTGCTGCATCTGTTGCCTTAGATCTGCCATCTCTCTATTAATACGCTCAGCATGCACTTGTTCTAGCGTCAATCCTCTAGGAAGATCCATTGAAAACGTTTCACAAGAGAGGATAACCAAAAGTCTTCACTCCAGCAACCTGGAATTGCTCTGCTACCACTTTGATACGTGTAGCAGGAAGCGAACGGAGTGAATGAAATAGAGACCGTAACAAAGACATATTTGAACAGAACTGAAGTAAACGGATAAGAGGAAGATACGAGATCACCACAACTCGTAAAGCCGATGCACCGGAGCTGATAAAGAAACCCGCTGAGCTAGCACCACTCCTGGATAAAGTTGCCACCACCATAAGATAAAAACGCTCGAAACCACCACCAATGACTCTCCCAAAATCAAAGGATAAAGGTAAAAGATCTAAACAGATCAAAAGGGGTCACAAAGACATTCCAAATTCTCAAACTCGTTTTCTGATTTTTATTGATGAATAAGGGCCTCATTATATAGAGGAAATACAATAAAAATATTCATAAACGATTCTCTACATGCAGAGCACCTAGAAGAATTAAATTCAAACTCTAATTTGCATGAAAGAGAGAGAAACAACCTGTTTTTAATGCAGTCTTGACCAGATACGAAATGGGCTCTTCTCTTGCTTATTTGGGCCTGAATACACTTCATTAAACTTATCTTCATCAAATCTAGCCCAAAATAATGCTCTCCACATTTTAGTTAATAGGCAGGACCAAAATCAACAAAGTGACAGCCAGCCCGTTCTTCATCTCTACGCCTTGTGTTGCTTCCTTGTCTTGGATGTCTGCTCCCGCATCAGTTCTCATAGTTTGTAATAATTCGTAAATCTAAATGTAGAAGATTAAAAAAAAACAATTGAAGAATATATATATGGTTGCCTAGAAATGAGGATGCAAAGATTGTATTCCTTTAAACATAAATTTGTAACTATTGTGGTAGAATGTATCGAATTTATTTTTCACTAATGTAGAAGGTAATATTTTTTAAAAGTTTTTGTATGTTATTTTTTAATTATTAAAATCAAGAAAAATTA